AAATTGGTAGCGCCTTCGGGTAGTGGAGCAGCTTGTCCTGTTAAAGGTATAGACTGCTGTAGTAGACCACCCTGTACCATGGCAATCTGAGTAGACGATTCAGAATTGCCTTGACCATTAGCAACCATAGTTAATGTGTCGGTAGAAACAGCTTTCTTAACATTACCATCATCAGTAGCCGTGTCGAGAACTTCAGGTTCTAGATCACTACCGACAGGTAGATCATCATCAGATAAGACCTCATTGTTGATGTTGTCTTCACTCTCGATGGAGCGTTTAGATAGGGTCAAGCTTCCAGATCGAGGACGACCAATCTTAGACTTAGACTTGTCGTTAGCTTTGCTCTTAGAAACAGCTCTAGAGGCAGGCGTACGGACAACATTACCAGTCATATAGACAGTACCGAGATCTATGGTAGTGTCTAGACCACTAACAGAAGGAATGCTAGTAGTACAACCAATATCACAACGTTCAGAACTAGAACCGAACGTAGGAGTTCGACTTGATTGCCTTGAAGGTGGTACAGATAGAGCTTCCATTGGGGAAGCAATTGACCCGATCATACTTTTAACAGAACGTTGACACTCGTGGGACGAGCTGTCAATAGAAGGATATCTCATAGCCTTGCACTCAGCGTCTAGAGGTTGATCTTCTTGAAGTGGACGTACTTCCATAGACTGATCAACATGTTCAGTCGAAATTACAGCATCCATAGACGAGGATACTAACCGTGGTGACATAACTGACGCCATTGGGGAGAAGTAGACCGACCCATAAGAACGTAGAGATTCATTAGAGTCAAATACGGCACAATGGTGCTGTATGTTATCCACTCTAGATGGTAGAGAACGAACACGCCTTTCAGAGGAAGCCATAACAGATGGCTTCTTGATATCAGCGTTGCGAAGATCGGGCATAGACGTTGATCTAGTGCGCATAGGGGCTCGGAAAGATATCCCGGTAGAATGTACGGGACGACTTAGAGTAGAACTAGAAGAAATCAGTAGTGGTCTTGAAGTAGATGTACTTCTTGGTGGTTCAGTCGCGT